GAAGGACGGTTGGCGGGAGCGCGGGGAGGGGCTCACGCACGTCGGGCCGAGGGTCTTCAGAGGCGCGGCAGCGCGGACTGCTGCCAAGCCGCGCCGTCGCGGTGTGCGGGCCGCAGAGGGGCTGGGCGGCTCTGGTGCAGGAAGCGGGCACCCTGTGGTTTCACAGTTGGTGTCGTGGAGCGGGCTGCAGGCCAGCAGCCCGGCAGAGTGGCATTGGTGGGTCTGGGGAGAGCCTGGACAGTTTCGACGCCGAGGCGGATTGCGTGGAAATGTGTCTTTATGCCTTGGGAGCTCAGCCTCGAGAACGGCAGTTTAAAAGCAAAGTCACGAGCTTGTTCAAGTCTTTTCCTGGAACACGGAGCTTGTTGAGTAGGGAGTACTGCACGGGCATTCCAGCAAGTCCAGGCTCCTGGTCTGCGTGGCCACGTGCCCCCCGTGGTAGCCTTTGCTGTGTCTACCCTGCCTTGAGAGGCTGTTGTGTTCTGCTGCCTTTAGGTGGACATCATGGACATATGTGAGTCAATCCTGGAGAAGAAGCATCATGACAGCGAAAGGTCTGTGTGCAGCATCTTGGAGCAGACAGACATCGAAGCTGTGGAGGCTCTTGTGTGTATGAGCTCCTGGGGTCAGAGAGCCCAGAAAGGTGGTGACCTGTTAAAGATAAGACCTCTCACACCTGTCTCTGACTCAGGGGACGTCACTGCCACTGTGCATCCTGATGTCTCTGCACCTGAGCTACCAAAGGATTTCCATTCTTTATCGACTCTGGTAAGAAGAGGTGGGGGGAGAAGAGCATTTTTGTGAAATGACTTCATTACCTTAAATTTGTTGAACTCATGGGAAGATTCCCTGAAATCCTGGCAAGGAAGTTGCATACCCCTCATTTGTGTGGTCTGAAGGGGTAAAAACTCTCCCTTCATCTCTTGATGTTGTGTTTCTTCTGTTGACAGAGCATAGCTTGTTAGCCACGTGGTTAGTGTCTATAGGATGAAACTTACAGGTTGGTGTGAGAAGTTTACACACTTCCTTGGCGAGTCTCTGTAGGCTTGGGTTCTCCCAGTGACCCAGTGTAAGATCAGGATATCTGGGAGGCAGCTGGTGAAAGCGTGTGCTTTGACATCAGATGGCCTTAACTGGGTTAGCACTCTGCTTTCCTGTGGCAGCTGACTTCTTGCGTGAGTTGGGTTCAGTAAATCATTATTTTTTGTTGTTGCTTTTTTTTAACTTGGCCACATGAATTTTTAAAAATTACTTTTCAGCTTGGAGAAGTTGGGAGCTGTAGGTTGCTAATGGGAGTGAAAATGGTGATGTGTTTGTCCTGGGACGGAAGCTTACACTGGAAGGAGAATGTAGAAAGCAAATTGGGAGAGGGATCAGAAGGGATGGTGGGTGGTGGAGGGGGTTGGAGGAGTGGTTGGCCTGGCTGCTAGGGGCCCCTCTGAGTTCCTCAGCATTGGGCTCTTGGGGATCGGGACAGACTGAGAAAGTAGAGTGCCTTGTGCAGCCTTGACATCCGCTGAGGTGTTGAGAACAGGCTTAGACCAAACTTCTAGATTTTCTGTCTAAAGGTATTGGGGATGCTGTGATCAAATACATCTCTTAAATTCTAGCCAAAACAACCTTTTCACTTGGTACTTTTTTTTTTTTTAAGTGCATAACTCCTCCTCAGAGCCCCGAAGTCGTGGAGCCATCGACAGGGACACCTGTTTCTTCCCAAGTTACTGATTCCAAAGCACACACAGTCATGACTGTCTCCCCGTCTCCTGCTGTGGCAGCCAGAGTGCTGAGCAGGAGGGCAGAGAGGGGCTCACCAGGTTTGAAGCCAGAGCCCCTGGAGCAAACCCCCAGTGCTCCCTGCAGGGCCATGATGACCAGCGTGATCCGCCACACTGGGGAGAGCCCTGCTCCTGCCCGCTTTCCTGCCGGTCCGACTCCAGAGCAGCAGCTTTCTGACAGCAGAGAAGGAGAGACACAGTTTCTGGGACATTTTGAAGTTTTGCAGGACACACACCTCACAGACAGTCTACTCAACACTAATTCAGTGTCCTGTCAGCCTTGCTTGCACAAGTCCAGTGGCCTGCTTCCCACTGATAACGGACAGCAGGCAGGCTGGCCCGTTGCGGTTCAGACCTGCTCACCAAAGAATTATGAAAATGACTTGCCTAGGAAAACCACCCCTCTGATTTCTGTCCCTGCTCCGGGTCCCCCTGTCCTTTGCCAAATGATCCCTGTGACTGGACAGAGTGGCATGTTACCAGCTATTTTGAAGTCCCCTCCCCCTCAGTTGCCTGTGGGGACTGTCAGACCCGTCCTAGCCCAAGCTGCTCCAGGGCCTCAGCCTGTGTTCATGGGACCACCGGTGCCTCAGGGAGCCGTGATGCTGGTTCTGCCCCAGGGAGCCCTCCCCCCGCCTGCTGCCTGCACAGCCAGTGTCATGACTGTGGGGAGTAGCAAGTTGCTGCCCCTTGCCCCTGCCCCTGTGTTCATTGCCTCTAGCCAAAACTGTACCCCTCAGGTAGACTTTTCCAGAAGAAGGAACTATGTTTGCAACTTCCCAGGCTGCCGGAAGACTTATTTCAAAAGTTCCCACCTCAAGGCTCATCTTCGTACTCACACAGGTAAGTACTGTCAGATGCTATGGTTAGGAAGCCCATCTCGAGCCGCCTTTGGGTGGGAGGGCTTTGTGAGAATGCCTGGAAAAAGCAAAAGTGTGGTTTTTTCCTTTGGTTTTGAAAAGCCCTCACCATCTTGTAAGGATTGGAGTTACCATTAGTTACCATTAGCATACCCTCAGTGGGTTTTAATTTTTTATTTTTTCCAGTGGCCAGTTAGAACCATCTGTGGTTTTTATATGGAGTGCCAGTTGTTCACCCTGGGAGACAAAATGTAGTATATAGTTCTGTGATACAGGGGCTTTGATAACTCTTAGGGTGACTCATAGTGTCTCCTTCTGTTCACATTGCAGGAGACATCTCATGCTTTCTGGGCATTTTGGAAAATATTCACATAGAATAAATGTTTTGTCAATGTGACTTAGTTACGTTTACCATGGGGAAAGATCTGTTCAAACTAGAAAATCTCAAATTCGAGAATGTCTTTTAAAGTATAGTTTTCTTATCTCTGAGAGTAGTTTTTAATTCAGAGTAAATCATGCAAGAAACTATAATGATCTAGTGTTCTTGTCACCGTCCAGTCATCTCTGTCCAGTATAATTTTTGCAGTGGTGGAAATGTTCACTGTCTGTCCATTAGGGCAGCCACTAGCCACTCACACTTGACATGTGGTTGGTGAGACTGAGGAGCAAAATTTGACATTTTTGTCAGTTGAGGTGTCTGAACAGCCCCGGGGGCTAGTGGTGCTCTCTAGCAGTGCTCTGAATGTTGCCTGGTGGAGAGTCTTGCTGTTAGATTAGGACAGCTTTGCTCAGGTGCTCTGTGTAGCTATTCCATGAGTTAGTGTTGTTTTGCTGTGATCTTGAAAACCCCTGCATGCAGAATGACGTGCAGTCCTGGTATTCAGACACTGTAAGAGTAACTCTCAGATTCCTCCACACTACTGAGTGGCTGTTTACTTTGCGGGTAAGGCCCCAAGTCCGGCCCATGCAAAAACAGCCTCCCTTGGCCTTCTCTCTGGTTTTCTATTTCCACTTTCACCCTCGGCCCCTTACCGATCTCTACTTGGCAAAGCCCTCCAGGAGGCTTCCCAGAGCCAGGTCTTAGATTGTTCCCTTAGCTTTCTTTCTTTTTGGATCTTAGTGGTGTATTATGTAAACACCACATTCCTCTTTAGTTATATACGAGAGGAGAACCCCCCAATAACAGAATTATCTATTTTTTCTTTTTTTTTTGAGGATAAGTCCCTTGTACACTTGAAATTTGTCCTTCACATCAGTCAACCAAATTTTTTATCTGGGAGTCTTGAGGAGGTTGCATCACGATTTGTGGAAGAAATGTCCCGAGTTGTGGCAGACAGGTGACTGGTTCTGCCACCATAACAATGCACCTGCTCACATCTCGCCACGTATTCGGTTTTTAACCAAAAACAGCATGATCCCTGTGCTCTACCCTCCCTATTCACCTGATTTTTCCCCAAGCAACTTTTTTTTTTGTTTCCTCGGATGAAAAAAGTCCTCAAAGGGAAACATTTTGCTGATATGGAAGAGGTAAAACAAAAAACGGTAGAAGCACTAAAAGGCATCAAAACTGATGAGTTCAAAAACTGTTGTGAGCAGTGGAAAAAGTGTCTCGATGGGTGTATTGCATCACACAGATTACTTTGGAGGTGACTAAAGTTTAAACATGTAAGAATAAATGCACAATTTTATAAATAAATTCCATGCTTTTGGGGGTTCCCCCGTATTTGCCTTTTCTCATCCAAATATATTCCTGGTCATTTGCACAGTAGGATGGACATAGAGGCTGTGTCAGAGGGAACAGGTGCTTTTGAGGAAATTGACCTGCTTGGCTCTCTTAAAAGGCTTGCTGACTTGATGACCTCTGCTTGTCACTGAATTCATTCTCTCTCAGGTGAACTTCATATCACATCAAAGTGAACTTCAAGGCGCATCAAAGTACAGCTTCCACATTCAAGGAGGTGACTGAATGAGGTTTTACTATTCAGTCAGCTGCCCAGCAGTGACGAAAATAAGCTCCTGTGTTTCCAAAGTCCTTCAATTTAAATAACTATAAAGGTGTGAAAGAATCCCCTTGTGCCATTTTGTAAATGGCATTCCATTTTGTACCCTGTCAGTGTAATAAGAAATGTGAAAATAGAATTAATAATCCTGAGAAGTCTTCTAGGTCCTGGGAAGGATTTTTTTTTTTAATATGAAGTTCAATCCTGAAAGAGAATGAATTCTTTTCAAGAATCTTCCTTCTACCCCAAGCTATAATGGTGGATTTATTTTTATTTTAAAATATCTTTTGAAAGATTAGATTAGTTTGATATATGGCCCCTGACATACTGCATCTTTTAGATGTGGCAGGAAGAAATGCATTTGAGAGGATTTTTTTAGCTTTTGAATCACCCAGTTACGGAATAATAGGCTATTGCTTTCTAAATTAACCTATCCAATAAGGTGCTGTGCATTTACTTTTTCTTTAATATGTGTGTTCTTACCTCCTAGGGGAGAAGCCTTTCAGCTGCAGCTGGGATGGCTGTGATAAAAAATTTGCTCGTTCAGATGAACTGTCTCGCCACCGCAGAACTCACACAGGGGAGAAGAAGTTTGTGTGTCCAGTATGTGACCGGCGTTTCATGCGCAGTGACCACCTGACAAAGCACGCCCGGCGCCATATGACTACCAAGAAGATCCCAGGCTGGCAGGCAGAGGTTGGCAAGCTGAACAGGATTGCCTCTGCAGAGAGCCCTGGGAGCCCACTTGTGACCATGCCAGCCTCTGGCTGAAAGGTTGGCTGGGGCATTACTCATGGGATTTTTTAAAAAGCCTCTTTTCAGGAATGGAACTGATGGGTTCCTCTCCGTAAAACAAAATGCTTTTAGGGGCTAGGGAAAGGTTGAGGAGCTGGTTCTGATGAAAGTATGTTAACTTTTTTTTTCTGGTTGGGACCCTGTTCAATATCTTTTGTAGTTTTGGAAGTTTTGTTTTTTGGGTTTTTTGTTTTTGTTTTTTAGGAAACAGAAGAAAATTTGATAATCAAAATCACCAGCATTTAAATAAACATTTCGGCAATGAAGTTTACAAAATCTTTCTATTCATGTTTTGTAGAAATGAGACAGGGTACTAATTTTTATACGGTTTTTTATAAAAATATTTATACTGTTGGTGCTCAGATCACCAATTTCTACATAGATGATTTTGCCACCTTCTTTTCAGTGTTAAATAACAAAGTTTTTATAATGACCTTGCTTTTAGTAAACCTGACACATTATTCAGCCAAAAACAAAAATTACAAGTCTGTTATCACACCTTTTAGATTTAAGAAATTTTTGGAATTGGAATCGATTGAATAAGGGCCTCTTAAAAGGGAAAAACAAAATTTCCAGTCGGCTTGTTTGTAACATTTTCAAGGGAAATTCCATGCAACCATTCCTGTCACCCAAGGACCTACAGTTTTGGTTGTTTAGAACCGGTGACCTGTGTCCCAGGTGTGATTCATGAAGGTTGTACCCCAGAGGGTAACTTAAGCTACTGGACAGATCCCAGGGAGCAGGAGCTGCTGCAGTATCTTGTGTCTGTGTGTAATACTGTCTTCTGGGTCATTGCTCTGCTGAAGGCAAGCCATTCCATTTCCTGTTTGTATCTGAAATGCCAAAAGAGATCATGTAAGCACCTAAACCCAGCTGCTTTGTTGATTGTCCGTTGATTTCTTTCAGTGTGGCTTTACCCAGACTATATTGTGGGTAGAATAACATCTTAGAGAAAAAGGAAATGTCTATGTTGGTTGGATGAGCTTTCCACCAAAGTGCAGCTTAGCCAAGTTGAGGTGCATGTGCAGCCGACACCGCAAGGTTCTGATTCTTTTATTTATTAAATATCACAACTTACAGGAAATACAAGTTACGCTCAATGGCAGTAATACCACCCGGCTGCCCTTCATTCATTTTGTGTGAAGAACATTGTTTTGATCAAACAGAATGTTATCTGGAATGGGGCTTTTTGCAGTCTACCTATAAAATAGACGACGGACACTGCTTTTAAGCTGTGAACACATGTCCGAGATAAACAAGAGACTGTGGCCTCCTGTATCCAAGAAGCCATTGAAGCTGGTTGTTGTTAAGTGTTGGATGTTCAGGCAACAGAATAAAGGCAAGAACATATGGAATGTTGCACTACTTTGGTAACCTGGAAATATTTTTGTATTGTGCAGTGTGTATTTAGATTTTGTCTTTGCCTGCTATTGGCATTTACCTTTATTAAAATGATGGTAAGGTGAAATACTGAATAATTGAATGAAACTAGGTTTTGTGTACAAGTCTTTTTAGTCTGATACAACCCTCTCCTGGTCATTGATTGTGTGTCACTGATACCCACTAATTTGCCTTTCGTATCAACTGTTGTTTGACTTGTGTGTATGTATTCTTAGGAGGTTTTTGCGCTTTTGGACAGTTCCTTAGATGAGTGTTGCTGTTGCCATGAGACTGCAGCTGCAGGAGAACCACACTTGTACATAGTTCACAAGTCCCACCACCCCAGTCCTTTTCCTGCCCAGCCTAAGTCAGCAGAAACATTTTTGACTGTGCGTGTGCTGTAATGGCATCAGATTTGGGTATTTTCTCAATGACACGGAAGTAATGTTCGTCCTACTAGCGTTTTGGTGGATAATACCAAGTCCTTGAGTATTTGGTTGCTTGTCACATCGAATTTCATTCTCTGAGCAGTGTTGTTTCTGAAGAATAGATAGATGTTGGGAAGAGTATTAATTTACACTTCTGTTCCCTGATTAGATTCGGAAATACCTTAAATAATCCCCCACTCCCACCCCTCATTTGTGGTTCAGCCTGTAATCCCAGTGCTTTGGGAGGCCTAGGTGAGCGAATTGCCTGAGCCCGCGGGTTCGAGACCCGCCTGGGCAATTTGGCGAGACCTCATCTCCACAATAAATCAAAATCAGCCGGGTGTGGTAGCGCGCACCTGTAATTCCGGCTACTCAGAAGGCTGAGGTGGAAGGATCACCGGAGCCCAGCAGGTCGAGGCTGCGGTGGCCGGGAGCGGCCGCTGCACTCCAGTCTGGGTGACAGAGTGAGACTCCAACTCAAAAAAAAAAACAAAACAAAAAAACATTTTAAGTCAGGAAACAGTTCCTGCTTGAAAACGATTCTCCTGAGAAGCAGATCCTTTGTTTGTTGATTCATTGTGGAGCCTGTGCGCTGTGAGCTGGAGGCAGGGTGAGGCGAGGCAGGCTCCCTAGTGCACTTTATTGCCTGAGCAATCTTGCTTGATCTTTTGACTTTGAGCCTTTTAAGTAGTTTCAGTTTTAAAACTTAAACTGTTTCATAATTATGTTTTATGTAACAAACTTCGACTTATTTAAATGAATATGTGTAATATAACTTTTTCTTTGAATCATATAAAACCTTTTGGATTTGCAAATTAGACGTGTGTCCTGTGTCATTTAACTCTGCTGGAAGCGTAAGTATACCCAGAGGTTTTTTGGAGAGGAGCCTAAACACTCCTCTGTTTTCTGGGTTGGTTCTGTGTCTTTGGATTCCATGGAGGGTTCCTTCTGAAAGCAGAGTGTGAAGATACTGCTTCTGTGGTGGCCATTCTGGCAGTGGGTCTTGGTCCTGGGTGTGTGGGTAGCCCTGTGGCCCTCGGTGCTGGTGTCTGCGTGTGCCCGGGTGACTGCAAAGGGGGAATTGGGCACAGTTTTGTGGCCACTCTGGAAGAGGTGTGTGGAAGCCTCTTCCCTGCCTTCCTCTTCCCTGCCTTCCTCTTCCCTGCCTTCCAGCCCAGGGTTAAACAGCACATCATGGAGCCGCTGGCTTGGCCCTTGCTTCACGTACACTCTCCCTCAAACCCGCTGTGATCGGGCTTTGCGTCATGTGCCACTGAAGGAGCCCCACCTGCGGGTGTTGCCAGAGGCTTTCCTGAGCTGTCTGCAGGCTTGTCAGCAGCATGGCACACTGGTGACGCCCCACAGGCCACGCTCCTGCCTCCTCCCACCTCAGGGCCTGCTCCTTTGCTGGCTCCTTTGTCTGTCTGAACTCTTGATGCTGGTGGGCCTCAGCTCAGTGCTCACACCACTGCAGTCCCTTGGTGACCTTTCCCAGCCTTATGTCACAACTTTGAAAAAATAACACCTCCATGTGCGGTGGCTCACACCTGTGATCCCAGCACTTCAGGAGGCTGGGGTGGGAGGACTACTTGAACCACTTGAGCCCAGGAGTTTGAGGCTGCAGTGAACTGGGAGTGCACCAGTGTACTTCAGCCTGGGTTGACAGAGTGAGACCCTGTCTCTAAAAAGAAAAATAACAGCCCCCGAGCTCTCCTTTGTGTCTCTTGCCTGACTTCACAGTCCTGTCTCCAACTGTCCACCTGACATCTGTCCAGACAACATCTTGCAGGTAAAATGCTCACATGCCTCAGCTCCCCACACTTGTGTTTCTCACAGCTGGCCCCGTTGTCTTTAAAAAGATCAGCATGTGTTCCTACAGGACCTTGGAGTCCTCCTTAGCTCTGCTGTCACCACGCATGCAAGCTGTGCCTGGTCCTTAAAGTAGCCAGCATCTGACCACTTCTCACAAGTAGCCATTGTTGCCACCACTGTGCCCTTGATTATTGCTAGCCCTGCCTGCTTCTGCCTGGGTTCCCTTTGGTCTGCTTGACAGCCACAGCAAGCTGTTTAGACATGTCAGGCCACATCCCTCTGCCTAAAACCCTCTGCTGGTTTTACATCTGGCAAAAGCCAGTCACTGCAGCCTCCGCAGTCTCCCCTGGCCACTCCTGCAGTTGCACTCACCTCACAGCACAGGGTTGGCCACGGGCTCCACGCAGAACCAGCCGCGCTCGTTTGCTCTTCCTACCTGACCCCACAGCTCTTGTCTCAGGTGGCAGTGATGGCAGTGTGCCGTGGGTCAGCTTCCCTGGAAAGAGACCATCGAGAAAGATCTGCCCACAGGACATTTTATTGGGTGAAGCTCTCAGGAACAACCCTGTTAGGAAGCGAGGGAGAGGATTGGGCCCAGGGCGAAAATGAACCGCAAAGCCAGTGTGACAGGCGACAGGCGGCCCCAGGGAGGCCTTGCAAAGGGGCGCAGCCTTGGGCAAGGAGCACAGCCTCTCATCTGATGAGAGCTGCCCTCTGGGAGGTGTTCCCTTGGGCAAGGAAGCTCCCCTCAGGCAGAAGGCAATTCCAGCAGCTGAGGGGCCCCCAGCGCCCAGAGCTGCCGCTGAGGGGGACCTCCCGGGCCAGCGACACATCCCAGACCTGCAGGCCCCACATCCTCACACTTATCTGCTCCTTGGTCTACTCTCTTCTCCTTTAGCACCTTCTGATTCGTCCTGAGTCTCTTAAGAGGTGACTGTGAAGAAAAACTCGTTGGATCTAGAAAACACCTGACTGAACCCAGGCTCAGTTCCTCACTTGCTTTGTCAACCCAGGCTAACCATGTTTGCTACACAGGGGAGTAAAAGAAAGAGGACCATGTGAAAGTGTCGGTGTCCTCCAGAATATAGTCACTATAGGGCGGGAACTGGCATTCTGTCCCCAGGGCAGTACACCAGTGTTGGCCTGGCCCACACCAGTGTTGGCCCGTGGGAGGTGCCGAATGGCTGTCTGAAGGGATGCAGTTCCTTGTGCTGGAACCGAAGCCCAGCACCCAGAGACGCCTGTGGCAGGGCTGAGCTGAGCCACTGCCTTCTTGTTCCCAAGCTCCTGGGCAAACTCAGCCTGGGGGAGTGACCGGCCTCCGGCTGGGGCTTCCCAGGAGTGCTGGGAAGCAGCAATCCTGTGTCCACACGGAGGGTTGTCGCTGTCTGCATCTCCATGTAAAGGACCTACTGTCTTCCAGAGCCACCGGCCCATGAGGTGATGGTGAAGCTTGCAGGTGAGATTGTCACCCACACTGGTTCTGGCTGTGTGTGCCTGCAGGCATGTTAGGGGCTGGTAAATACTAACAGCCTTCGCACCCTGCAGTTCACCTAGAAAAGTCTGATTCCAAACCCCTTTGACTCTGGATGGTGGCCACAAGCTTATGACCCCCAGCCTTGGCTTTGCTGTTCTCCCTCTGTGTCACCAAGGTTCTTA